AGGGGATTTGGGGGGCGGGGGAGGAGAGTCCGGCGGGCGGGGGGAGAACTTGAGGGGCGGGGGGAGAGCCTGAGGGGATTGGGGGGCGGGGGAGGAAGAGAGTCCGGCGGGCGGGGGGAGAGCCTGAGAGGATTTGGGGGGCGGGGGAGGAGGAGAGTCCGGCGGGCGGGGGGAGAGCCTGAGGGGAGTGGGGGAGGGATGGGGGGACGACAGGGAGACTTAACATAGAGGGACAGTAGTTTAGAAGCGAGAGAAAAATTGGCCTCTGGAAAAATCAGCTAGTGTCTCCCCCAGCTTTTTCCCATTGTCACCTCCAAATTCTCCCTTCTTGGGGGTTTTTATCTGGTCCCCACTTCCCAGGATGGCCTCCTCCCCCCAGGAACTCATCCACTCAGGGGCTAGAGTGTTCTCCTGGCTTGCTTGAGAAACTGGACTCTTTAGGAGTCCCCAGTTCCCTTACCCTGAGGCCTTTTTTTCCTTCCGGTTTTTCCACCCAATATGAAGTAGTCAGTCCCTCATCCTGATCTATTGCGTACAGCCCTCTTTCTGCTCATCCCAGTGTATGTGGGGGCACATTCCTCTCATCAGAGTAGACCCTGTGATTCTCAGAACAGACAGAGTTGGCTCTGAATAATGGGGTTATCCTGCACTGATGACGATTATTGGGGTAGTGTCTAAAAGCCCAGTTGGAAATCACCGTTTCTTTGTGCTAGACACCATGCATATACACAATGAAAAAATGTTCTCTGCCCTCAAAAGAACCCCACAAATATGGGCTAAGTTTGCTACAAGGTGACTAAGGGAGGAATGCAAGTGTCTGATAAGTGTGAATTTTAAGGATATGGTTTAGTTATTTAGGATGGCAAAAGGGTTTATTTTAACCAGGAGAAATGGGCTGAGATGGAGAAAGGGAAAATGTAAGGTGAATAACAGGAAGCGTTTTCTGTCAGTGGAATGCATTAGTTTGTGGAATACTCTCCTATGGGAAGTGGTATGTGTGCCCCATCACTTCGGACATTTTAAAAACGAATCTGGAAAAATCTAATCTTGGAGCATAATATGTTACAATCTCATTCTGTGGGCAAGTTAGTGACAGAAAGGTCAGAGAGGTTTAATTTGATTTTTAAAAATCAAAAGAATCATAATGTCACCCACTCACTGTCCCCCATGGCCCGACTCCAGGGCTTCAGGTTGGTGGAAATGGGTTGAATTGGTTATCATTCAAATGCCGTTTCTTCCACAAACACAGTGGTGTCAAATATGACAAACCTAGAACAATTATGTAGATACGTATTTTAGAAAATGTTTAAAAAATTAAAATTTTAAATTCTACTTTAACACAGGCGTGCATTGCTTACATAAAAAATCCCTAGAGACTCCACTACAAGGAACATTTCTGAAACAGTCCCTGGGGCAAGGGAGTTCCTGATGTAATAAATAGGTCTTTCCTTCTCTCTGATTTTTTTATTTTTTGTGAGGGGAGGGATAATGTCTGCATAATTCAGAGTAGCAAAGGGGACCAGATCCACAAGTGCTAGAAGTTGATTTATCCCAAACTGGGTGCTGTACTTTTAACTTTTTAAAATAAATTTAGTGTAGGTGAAAGCTGCCATACTCAGGCTTGGTCTAAACACAGAGTTGCACCAGTTTAACTAAAGGCATGGTTTAAAATCCCTTTAGTTAAAAAGGTGCATCATTGTGTGCAGACTTTCTATATCAGTTTAAACTTTCTGTTGGTTTAGCTTGCATCTGGTGAATGCTGAATTGATATGAGTGTCTATGCAGGGGTTTGCACTGATGTAGCTGAATTGATGGTGATTTCAGTTAAACCAGTGCAATGTCTCTGTGTAGACAAACCCTCTGGTCCCAGCTCTGCGGTGGGTCCTGTGCTGTTGGACCTCACTGCAGTTTCAGGGTTTAACAGCCTAGGAGACTAACCTTCGCTGGGATGCACAGCTGCAGCATGGGCAGTGTCAGCTTCTTGACACCCCACCCAGCATTCGTAAACCAGCTTTGCAAAATGGTCATAAAAATTTATCAGCCCAAATGCAAATTCTGCTGTCCTACCCTTTTCTGTGTTGACTGAATAGTATTTTATGTCCTCTAGTGCAGCGGTTCTCAACCTTTTTCTTCCTGAGGCCCCCAACATGCTATAAAAAATTCCTTGTCCCCCCACCTCATGCCACAACTGTTTTTCTGCATATCCATTAGCTTAAAAGCCAGGATCGGCATTAGGGGATAGCAAGCAGGGTAACTGCCCGGGGCCCCATGCCACAGGAGGGCCTTCAAAGCTTTGTTGCTCAGGCTGTGGCTTCAGCCCCACATGGCGGGGGTCAAGCTTTGGCTTTCTGCCCTGGTTTATTTTGGCAGACCCCCTGAAACCTGCTCGTGGCCCCGCAGGGGGCCCCGGATCCCTGGTTGAGAACCACTGCCCCAGTACAATCACTGTTAACACTGGGGTATCTTCTGGCCCACAGGGGGTAGAAAGAGCCTGTCAACCACAATGCCCTAGGGTATATGCGTTCTAAATATATTTAGAAAATGGACAAGGCAGATAGTTGACTTTCAGCTATGTGTTTGGCAGGGAGTAGAGTGGAGGAAACTTGCCCTGACACTGCCCACATTGTATCCATTCTGTGGATAAATGAAGGATGTCAGTTTCCAGCGCACTCAGTCCAGTATCTTTTGCCAGCACTAAGCTCACACTAAGCAGCTACCCTATAAGTTTGTCAGTACAAATGTGATAGGTGTGTTGCATTTACCTATCCATATGGTTTGGGAAGAGGAGAAATAGGCACACTTTTTCCTAATATTTGTTTAAAATGTAATTTAAAAAAATCAAACTCCTTTTAGTAACTTACTACACACCGGACAAAAGACTTTCTGATTTCCTGACCTAGAGTTGGAACGTTTGGCTGAGTGACTCAAGGGCTCCATGATTCAAGTTCCTCTTGATGAAACCTTTTTGTTTTTTCTTCAGGAATTTGGCTAGATTCCTGGCCTTACTAATTGGGCGAGAACTTCCTGGAGTCAGGATGTTAAACCTGAGCCACTTTGTTTCAGTACCAGTCCTAAAGTCTCCTTTTTTGGTTGTCGAGTCTGTAGTGGACCTGACTTTGGCTTAAGCCACTAGTAAAAATAGAATTTGTTCTCGCTCTCTCTCTCGTTTTGCTATTAAACTGAAATTTAAGCAACACCTGATTAATGAAGAAATATGGAGAGCCTGCTTATAAGACTAGCTGTGTGATGTGCAACACAATAACAGCATTACAATGACTCAATAATTTTTTGTTTCTGAGCAGTTGGCACGTACCTTGGGTGCTTTGTAAAGTCTTAACCACCCATGACGTGCACCAGTGACTTGATAATGCAAATCCTGATATAGTTTGTTACTATATGTATGGTCTAATATTAAAGATTATGACAGGGAGACAGGACTCCTAGGTTCTGTTCCTGCTCTGACAGCAACTCTGTGAGATTGGGGAATTTACTGAGTGTGGCAGGACCTTTATTTTGCTGCTCTTCATTTTGTATATATATAAAGTGAGGATCATGGTAAGTAATTAATCAGTCTTGGGCGATATATATATATATATATATATATATATATATATCATATATACACACACATACACATATATGTATGTTTTTCTTGAATTGCTATGGAGCCCTTTAAAACCTCTCCTCTTTTTCTAGAGTCCCCTGCGTGGAGCTGCTTACTATGTCATCAGCAGTGGGTGGAGCCAGGAGCAGGTCTCTGGATAAAGCTCTGGCTGCCCCTGCCTGGGTGGAAAGCCTATTCATGGGGGAACATGGGGAAAGTCTGTGCTAACTAAGCTGTATCTGTTTTGGGGCCATAAACAGAGCCTGTCAGTCCAGAGCTATCACTAGTACACCTTTCACCAAAACAAATATGTTTAAAATTGACTTAAAAAGCAAAGCTAAGAGCAGACTTTAATGTTGCCAGATCAATTTAAATGTGAGCAAAATGTTAAAGAAGCCATACTGCTTGCAAATCCCAGCTAGGATGGGTATTGGGACTACAGACTGTCTGCCTTTTCTGGTATAGCTTGTACAGCTGACTTTTTGACTCATTAATTTACAAACAGATGTATGGATTAATACATCCTCAATGATGAAGACTTGGTCATGCATTCACTGAAAGTTAGCGTATGGCTGTTACACCTCTAAAAAGTTCCAGTTGGCATGTAGCTTTGGACAACTGGCAGCTCAAGCCATATTAAAATAAAGATCTGCACCTGTTATATAATGCCAATGTAACTCAGCGTCATGATCATGATGAGGACAAATTACAGCTTCCCTTTGGCACTTATTTAAGACACATAAATATAAATAGACATTAAATAACAAGAAGGCAACCTTTGTGAGGACTCATCTCATTTGTGCATTAATACGAAGTTGGGGTATATTAAGATCAAAGATGGGCCCCAAATTGCAAAGTTAAAATTTAGATCTGATTTTCCTCAAAGTTGTTGGTGATTGGAATCAAGGTTTTGGTCTGAGACCATCTGTAGTTGAGATGAAGTGGTAGAACGCTATTCATGTGTTGCACACTCACCGTTTTGCTATCACATAATATCTCCAACTCTCTCCCCTTTGGTACTGGTTTTAGGGCATCTATCTCCTGCAAATGAGCAATGGGATGAACCTCATGGATCCAGGGTTCCAGCAGAAACTGGAGGATGAGAAGGAAGTAATTCGTCGAGCTATCCAAAAGGAACTGAAGATCAAAGAGGGGGCAGAAAATCTGCGCAAGGTGACAACAGACAAAAAGAATCTAGTGCATGTAGAGCATGTGCTGAAATCTTCCAATCGGAAACTGGAGCAGCTGCACTGGGATCTCCAGGAGCTTAATGCCCGGATTGTAGTAACAGAGAAAGGGGAGAGCAAAACAGGTAGGTCTTGGGACATAATTGTTGGGCATGATAGCTTCAGCAGTAAGCCTAATTATAGCCAATGCTTTAATTTCCTTTTTTTGTTTTCTATCGGGGGCTAATGTGATGGGAAGGAAAAATCTCATCTACCTAGGAGAGGAATCTCAACTGATTCCTGCTTATGTCCAGGTGAGACGAACAGTGTAGAGCAGTGGTTCCCAAACTTTAACAACCTGTGAACCCCTTTCACTAAAATGTCAAGTCTCGCGAACCCCCTCCTAAAAATGAATATTTCCAGGGATTTTCTCCTTTACCTGAGTATAAATTATAAGAGCAGTGATCTTGGGAATATAAAATTTGTTTTTATGACATGCTTATTACACACTCTTTATTATTAATTATTATTTATCATTACAGTATTTTTATTACATTATGAAAACAGCCACACTCTTCCAAGATCTCACTTTCATAGCGTGTATCACTTTGAATAAGCCTGTTATAAGACAAGGCTCCTATGTTTCATCAAGGAGCATCAGATGTGAAACAGCATGAAGGTATTTAAGACGCCAACTCAAAGAGTTCCTCCTACACAAGCATACAGGTCTTGAGCCAGGCAAACAACGCACGTTAGAACAAAGCTTAAACTTATTCTTCATAATAATTTTAAAAACAATACAAGCTGCCTATTTAATTTTAAAACCAGCAAAAAATATCCACCATCCTTTCCATTTCTTATAAGGAGTCTTGAAGTTTAAATCTCCTCAGTGTGATAGATATGCATGCTTTGATCTGCTTAGCTCTTGGAAGTCCAGGGGCTCCAGGCTGCTGAGGCAACTCTGTCCGCCATTAGGGAATTTTTTCCTGAGAACCCCCTGTAACATTTTGCGAACCCCCAGGGGTTCCCGAACCCCAGTTTGGGAACCACTGGTGTAGAGGTATTGAAGTTTGGAAAGTTGTGATTGACACTAATCGAGATGGAAGGAGGTGATAACATAAATCGCAATGGGCAAAAGACTGATTGCGTATGTTGGACATAGGATCGCCTCCTGAACTTCATCTAGGCAGACTTACAGAGCTTGGGAGAGAAAATAGGGGCTTTGGAGTAGAATCCAACATGCAAGTTCCTGACAGAGGGATGAATGTGAGATTGGAGGTTGTTGGTATTCTCGGGGCCTGATCCTAAGAAGCCAGCAGTTCTCATATTGGGTCAGTAGTAGGCTAGGGTACGCAACAGCTAGGAGAATTTGTCCTTCAGTTGAGGCCGTATATTGTACGTGTCTTTGAAGATGAAAACCTCATTTATACTCTCCTCCTCATCCCACCTATTACCCTATGAGGGAACCATGAGAAGCAGGGTAATGGAATTCACTATGTTGTTGCACAGATGGTTCCATGTCCCCGGACCCTTGTCTCTGGGAAAGGAACCCAAACCCAGTGGCAAGGAGGATAGAGGCTCTGAAAAAGCAGCTGCACATTGAGATGAAAGTGAAACAGGGAGCTGAGAACATGATCCAGATGTATTCAAATGCAACGTCAAAGGTAAGCATTGCTGAGTAGAAATAAGCAGGGAGCATTCCACCTTGGAACAAGATTTCTGTTAATAGTGCAAACACACACAAATCTTTATTCCAGATCTGGGTGTGACAGGGAGACGCTTTAAGTCAGAGGAGTTTTAGGTTGCATGGCTGAGCCCATCTGTGTGTTCATGAGCTGATACACAGCCCTGTGACAGCATGGTGTACTATCCCATGGGGGAACAGCGTTATGAATACAGGTTGTGTTGGACTCATTGTCACAGGATGTCATTGAGACAATCATTTAGTACAATTCAAATCAGTCTGCCTACTGTGGGGGCTCTTGTACCTTCCACTGAAGCATCTGGTGCTGATCATTGTTACAGACAGGATTCTGGACTAGATAGACCAGGGGTCTAATCCAGTATGGTAATTTATGTTCCTACACTTCAGATACTGATTATGTTTCTGTTCTCTGATATTAGTTACTACTAATAGACATTAGAATGGCTACCAGCATCTAACACTGGTGGTAGTGCCACTAGATTAGAAACAGATTTAAAAAAAAGTCTCAGAAGTGGTAAATCTTGTCAGTCACAGACATGGAGTACTGCCTCCAGAAAAGTCAATCCAGGCTTTGGGAGGTGCAGTACAGGGAGAGGAGCCAAAATATCTGACCAAAGGTAAGAAAATAAAATGCTTTGGAATATGACCCTTAATGTGTGACACTATCCCACATCATCAAGTTTCTGATATGATGTACCAAGTTTGTGCAATACTGTTTATTTCAAAAGAGACTTTTTAAGATGGAGCAAAGTAAATGGTATCTTTGTGTACGAGTTATTTAAAAAAGAGCTTTTTGGGAATTTACTGCTTTCTTATTCATCATGCTTGTTGTGTTTGGCATAATCATATTTAATATTCTGGAGGAGAATAAAAAATAAAGTTTAATTAAGAAGCTTAATTTAACTATATGAGCAAGATAAAGAACTTAGACATTCTGGTTTATTCCACACCTCCACCCATACAACTCTGCCAGCACAATTGACTAGGGAAGCACAATATTGAATCACTGCAACATCAGAATAAACTCTTAGTTGAAAGAACCCACAGGGCAGGACACTGTTACCTATGAAACTCGTCATATCTTTCATAGGTGTCACAGCATATCACAGATCCCTCATCTGTATCTACCATGGTTGGAAATCATCATCCCTGTTGCTTATGCATCTTTTTTGCACAACTGGGCATTGTGTGAACTTTTAGGACTTTCTGGGGCCCCTTTTAAGGTCTTGTATGTTGTGGTGCCCCATCTTTGTCCTAGTCTAACACATCATTAAAATCCAGTTCTCTCCTGTGTGGACCTCCCTAGCCATCTGTAATCTGTCTTGCCAGGACCGGAAGCTGCTGGCAACAGCTCAGCAAATGCTCCAGGACAGCAAGACGAAGATTGAGCTGATTCGGATGCAGATTGTGAAAGTATCTCAGTTGGCAGGTGGAATAGAGGATGCAATGGATCCAGCAGGTAAGATGCTTTGGATATCTGACATCGCTCGGAGAAGATGTAGCTGAATTATGAAGCCCCAATGCCTGAGATGCTAGGCCACGTGCTTGTCTGATTGTTATATTTATCTCCAACCTTATCAGTGAAGATGGGGGCCACCATCAGTCTCCTGGAGCTACGCATCGAGGAACTGCGACATCACCTATGCATTGAAGCTGCCGTGGCTGAGGGGGCAAAAAATGTGGTGAAGATCCTGGGAGGCAGGCGGGTGCAGGATCGCAAAGTGTTGGCTGAAGTAAGCACCATTGCAGTATTGCTACTTGAAGCATTGTGGTGTCTTTCTGTATGCTGGATAGTAACCTTTTTGTCAGAGGAAAAACAGTATTACAGCTGTTGCCCATTAATGCCCTAGCCCTGTTCTCAGCAATGACATGGTGGCTCCCTACTGCCAAGTCCCATGACACTGGTCTAAATCCTCCAGCACTGCCATAATACTGCAGTCCCTGCTCATAGTGATGTTGCGGCAGCTGCTACTCCCAGCAACTGTAACGGTAGAAGGTGATAATTCCCTTGTATAACTGCTGTTACTGGCTGTTTGAGAGATTCTGTGGTTGTCATTGCCATCTGATTCATTGCCTGTAATATGCAATGACTGTTTTTAAAAAAGCCACATATAAAGCTCTCCCATCATATGCTGTTCTTGTGAGAGACCTTACATTTCCAGAATTTGCCAACTGACTTACATCATAAAGCTAGGACAGAAAAAAATGAACTTATAGTAAACTAAACAACACTCTCTTTCATTTTTCTAATGGTCAGAACAAGAAAATATGAATAAAAAATTTCACTCATTTGCCAAGTCACTTATCCTTTTTGTGCCTCCGTTACTCATCTGTACAATGAGGATAATACTTATCCCACAGGGCTTTTGTGAGCCATAGTTCATGTTTGTAAAGAGCTTTGAAGGTGTCAGATGAAAGGCTCTATATAAGTGTGAAGTGTTAGTCATAGTAATTGTCCAACTTGGGCATTCATTATACCAGTCATTTTTAATTGGAAATCTTTTGGAGTCCAAATTGGTGGCTGCTTGTAGTGCACTGGTGTGTAAGAAACCAGTTTTGGATTTTTGATCCTAGTCTGGTCTTCAAGTCGGAAATACCGTGGTGGGAGCTTATTCAGGGCAGAATCCTCCTGACCCTCAGCAGCAGTGAGTTGCGATGAATGAGTGGTGCTGACAGTCCCTTCTTGTCCTTCATGAGCAGGATGGTGCCTGGCCTTTGAGGATGGGAAGTTGGGTCGCTTGTGAAGTGTTAGTAGTGCCAAGATCATGGCAGTGGCTATTCATTCAAAGCCTGTACTAGCTTTTTCTCTGCTCCTTGTTACCAGGCTCAGGGTCGTTTGCAAGAATCATCTCAGAAGATTGATTTGCTGCGCTTGTCCCTGGAGCAGCAGCTTAACGAGCTTTCTTCTGATCACCCAAAGCGGGCACTCATCAAGCAGGAGCTAGTGAATGCTTCCTCTCTGGGAGCTCAGCATGTCAGCGTCCAGCCCTTCACTTCACTGATCAAACCCACAGCTCTTACAGGTACCTGAGGCTGCAGGGCATGGGGAATATTTCTTCCCTATATACCCATGTCATGACTGGTGGTTTTTGTGAGGTGGACACTTGTTCCACTAGGAACTGGATCAAGTCCTCAGTTTGTCTCATGTAGGCCACCAAAAAGCTGTCAGGTTGTAATGACTTTAATAGCTACTGAAGGCTGGATTAAAAGTGTAAAATACCTAGACAGCATAAATCTAAAGTTTCTGACTTCCTATGTGGATTGACTAGAATAATTTAACTTTTCTTGAGAATAACACTCTTCGGTGAAATTCCTTAGGTTCATTAGAAGTGAGACTGATGGGGTGTCAGGATCTGCTGGAAAAAGTTCCAGGACGTTCCCGAGTGTTTGGTTCATCTCCCAATCATGGGAGCCCAAGTGACATGAAATCCCTGACCCGAGCACGAGCTGGGATGAGTATTCATGGCCGTAGTACTGCAGCAAAGCACTTGCGGAATGAGGAGCTGTGTAGTGAGTATGATATTCCCTGTTGCATCAGTGATGGTGTCTTCTAATGTGCCTGCCACCTTTCAGTCTGGTGTGAGTGCAGTGAGAGGAAACCTGGAAACTTGGCTCCTGAAACAGGGGAAGAGGCTGAATCATTTGATCTCCTGTCCCCCTTAGTGATCTCCTGTGCTGGAAATCTGATTGGATTGTGTGGCTACCTCCATCAAGAAGTATATTCCAATTTATGACCATATAAAAGATTGTAACCTACACTCTCTCCCTTGTCCAGATGAGGTGCTCGCTGTGCTCAAAGTGGACAATAAAGTGGTTGGTCAGACAAACTGGGGCCCAGTTAATAACCAGGCTTGGGATCAAAGCTTTGTCATTGAGCTGGATCGGGTAAGATTTTATTTCTGTAGGATGATAGGAATTCCAGGATCTCTTCATTCTTGTCCTCAGAACCCCCGTGTTGTGTCCCTTTTTTGATCTTTAACTTTATTTGAATTATTTCTGTGGATTTGGTGATATACTTGTCATTCCATTTTTGATCCATCTCTTTACTGGGACTGATAATGTAGCCTTCTCCCCATTCTTAAATCTACTCTAAGTACAGGTTACCTCTAGTATAGCTTCAGTCTGAGCATTTGATGCCCCTCTTCTGTCTCCATTTGAGCGGCCATGCTCCATCTATATGCACCTGCAATATACCTCACTTTGGGATATTTGGGATGAGGTTCAGTCTTATGTAGGAGCAAAGTCAAGAAATTACATGAAAATGAGCAATCTTTAAAGAAAGGTGTAGCTGCTGAAGGTCTGAAAAGACCAAAGAGGTGGGAAGCAATAGGAATGAGGAAATGTCACTTCTTCCTTGGAGCAGGTCTCTTATACACTGCATCGTTTAGCTGCATGGAATTTCTACAAGGCAGGAAAAGGTGGAGTTCAGAGTGTGTAAGTTATGGAACTGTGTGTGCGCCAGGCCATTGGCCTTGTCCATTACCAAGCTCTCTGCTTCTCTTCTTCCAGTCCCGGGAGCTGGAGATTGCAGTTTATTGGCGTGACTGGAGAGAGCTGTGTGCAGTGAAGTTCTTGCGCTTGGATGACTTTCTTGATAATGAACGCCATGGGATGTGCCTCTCTCTTGAACCCCAAGGGATGCTTTTTGCAGAGGTAAAGGCTCTAGATTTTACCTTTCGCATCCAGAAGAGTCACTGCTTCAGAGGTTTTCTTCGGGTATACACTGAAGTGATAGGTAATTCTGTTGGGTTTGACTCTCCTTGCATTGAGAAGGTTGCAGACAAATGGGTAAACTGAGATATGGATAGGTGAAGTAACCTACCCAAGGTCACACAGAAGTCAGTGCGGGAGCTGGGACTAGAACCCAGGAGTCTTGACTCCCATTTCTCTATTCTAACCTTTAGATACACTTCTACCCTCACTCAAAAGTCTTTATACCTCAAAAGTAATCTGCTTGTCCTCTAGTGGGGAGAGGAGGAGGGATGGTGAGCACTTGCAGTTCAAATAGTTTCCATCCCCCTGTTTAGAGTGTGGTATCTACCCTGGAAATAGGTGCTTGTCTGAGAATGGAAGGAGTGAACAGGGAGGATATGTTATACACACATTTATTTAAGCAATTATATAGCTTAACTTTCATTTATTCAGATTCTTAATTTTTTTTTTATTGCTTTTGGGAATGGTGAATGATGCATTTGTTATTTACTAAACGATCAATTTTTTTACCCGAGTTTGTGTGAAGGTCTATGTAGATGGAAATTAGAATTAAATAAATGCACAAAACAGCATTTAAAAATAATTAAATAAAACTACCTTAAATATGCTGGATACATTTAAACAAAGTTAATGAAAAAGTTAATCAAAACATGTTTTGCATTTAAAACTAACTGATTTGTTTTATTAAACAAATAAAGTATTATCTGTAATTAATAAATTGAACTGATTGTTTCTTGTCACCATGTCCTTCAGGATTTCAGAAGGAATAGATTTCATCCTCCTGCACTTAATTTTGATTCATAGATTGAAAGAGGAAACCAAGTTTTCCTGCACTTTCAACTCCCAATGATCTCTTAATTTAGGGCTTGTCTATACTTACACGCTGGTTCGGCGGCAGGCAATCGAACTTCTGGGTTCGATTTATTGCGTCTTGTCTGGACGCGATAAATCGAACCCAGAAGTGCTCGCCGTCGACTCCGGTAATCCTGCTCGGCGCGAGGAGTACGCGGAGTCGATGGGGGAGCCTGCCTGCCGCGTCTGGACCGCGGTAAGTTCGAACTAAGGTACGTCGACTTCAGCTACGTTATTCACGTAGCTGAAGTTGCGTACCTTAGTTCGAATTGGGGGGTTAGTGTAGACCAGGCCTTAGAATGAACTAGTCATTAAACTGAACTAGTTGAGTAAACTGAAATAAAATATATTTGTTCTGCATCTGCTGAAAAATCTGGTTTAGCACATCAACAAACACTGGTGAGAGGTATTTAGCCAGTGACTTTCACCAGTTCACTGATATGACTTTAAAACTTGGCAGCAAACATTTACTACATATTATATGTTTTTATTTAATTTAAATTATTTTAATAGATTATAGTAAACTTAAGCCTTAACATAGATTGCCGTAATTTAAAATGTCATTCTAAATAGGTTTATTTAAAAAAAAACGTTTATTTAATTTAAATTTAAAAAATTGATTTAAAATAAAAATCTGATTAAAAAACCAACAATCATTGATTATTACCCACCCTAAGGAGTGGCCTTTATGGCTGATCATGTACATGATCTACACTCAGATGGTTGAGGACAAAAGCACCAACTGAAAACAAGGAAAGAAATATTTTAAAAAGATGAGTGTGTTTATAGCTAGGAGTGACCCTTAAAGGGCCCCCACTGTAATTATCTGGGCACTACATAAAAAACACAGTCTTTGACTTGCTTTTGTTAGGAATCATCAGCAACGCTTTACATTAAAGAGGGTGGCTTAATGATTAGGTTTTAATCACCCAGACTGTCTGGAACCATAGGATCAAATCCCATCAGGTTGGGCTTATCCCTTCATCTTTTGAGATAATAAAGGGCTAGTCTACATTGGCAACGCTAAAGTGCTGCCATGGCAGCGCTTTGTTGGGAGAGAGTTCTCCCAGCGCTCTAAAAAACTCACCTCCACGAGGGGCGTAACTACCAGCACTGGGAGTGTGGCTCCCAGCGCTAGTGCCCTGTCTACACTGGCACTTTACAGCGCTGAAACTTGCTGCGCTTGGGTGTGTGTGTGTGTGTGTGTGTGTGTGTGTTTTTTCACACCCCTGAGTCAGAAAGTTGCAGCGCTGTAAATTGCAAGTGTAGACAAGCCCAAAGTGCATGGAACTCAATTTGTTATGAGATCTTCCAGGTAATCCTTAAAAAACACAGTCCTGTCTCCTTTGCAGGAGACAAAAGATCCCAGGACATCATTCCTAAATTGGGGTCTGACCCAGTCTCCTTAGCCAAAATTTCCCCCTCTTGTCACTCTTGTGTTGTGGAGTGACTGGCTGCTGCTTCCCACTTTGGAGGTAGCTACATTTCAGCAGTGCTTTATGTATATAATTTGAAAAGTACACTGGCATCAATTGGGATGGAAGACACCTTAGAAATGTTGTGAGTAGGGTCCCACCAAATTCACGGTCCATTTTGCTCAATTTCACGGTCATAGGATTTAAAAAATAGTAAATTTAATGATTTCAGCTATTTAAATCTGAAATTTCACAGTGTTGTAATTGTATGGGTCCTGACCCAAAAAGGAGTTGTGTGGGGGGGTCTGCTACCCTTACTTCTACCCTACCCTACCCTAGCGGTAGTGCTACCCTTACTTCTGCATGGCTGCTGGCGGTGGCGCTGCCTTCAGAGCTGGGCAGCTGGAGAGCGGCGGCTGCTGGCCAGGAGCTCAGCTCTGAAGGCAGAGCTGCCACCAGCAGCAACGCAGAAGTAAGGCTGGCATGGCATGGTATTGCCACCCTTACTTCTGTGCTGCTGCCTGCAGAGCTGGGCCCTCAGTCAGTAGCCGCCACTCTCCGACCGCCCAGCTCTTAAGGCAGCAGCAGAGAAGTAAGGGTGGCAATACTGCAACCCCCCTAAAATAACCTTGTGACCCCGCTACCCCCGCAACTCCCTTTTGAGTCAGGACCCCCAATTTGAGAAACGCTGGTCTCCCCCGTGAAATCTGTATAGTATAGGGTAAAAGCACACAGAAGACCAGATTTCATGGTCTGTGACATGTTTTTCATGGCTGTGAATTTGGTAGGGCCCTAGTTATGAGCCAATCATTCTGCCTTTGTCAGATTCTCTGTATTTCATGTTAATGGATACTTCTAACTTTAATTATTATTATTATTATTATTTTTTTTTTTTTAACATAGCACCTGAGGGGAGTAGATAGTGTAACTCACTCTGGAGTCTGCCTGCATATGTGACTCCTAGTTTGCTGAATGGGTGTGAATGGTCTATTTGATCAGAAGGCTAAGCATGTGTCCAGGAGGGAAGTGAACTGCCCTGTTGAGTCTCCTCTGCTTCCCTGGCAGGTGACCTTCTGTAACCCTGTGATTGAGAGACGGTCTAATCTGCAGCGCCAGAAACGTATTTTCCCCAAACAGAAAGGTAACCAACCTGTGAACTGACAGCCACTCCAATTAGGAGCATGTATGGTTATGTGGTTGTTGATGCGGGGGATGGTGCAGCACCCCATGGCTTGAAGTGGTTTCCATTATATACAGGGTTTACAGTTTGGTTCAATGGCTCTCAGCACCCCCACCGTAAAAATTGTTCCAGCATCCCTGGTTTATGGTACTTTTTGGAATGCTTCTGGGTTAATATATGTGTGTAGGTGAGATCTATTAGAGCGTGGCAATATCTCCACTCACTAGGGAAGTGATGGAAGCATGGCTGTAACATGGAACGTACATGTTGTAACACTGTTTACATCCATTCCTAACATGATTACAGTGTCAGGGGCTATGATTAGTAGTTTTTGAACAGGATTGTTGCTAGTAGGATCCAAGCCACAATCTATGTGTGTTCCTACCACCTGTAGGATGATCAGATAGCAAGTGTGAAAAATTGGGACGGGGTTTGGAGGGTAATAGGTGCCTATGTAAGAAAAAGCCCCAAATATCAGGACTGTCCCTATAAAATCGGGACATCTAGTCACCCTAACCACCTGTGCTACCACAGATAAGTGGCAGTGGTGAGAGATTTCCTAGAAAATTTAGACAAAGCCATGGTGTGGACAGGGACATTGATTGTCCAACAAGGCTTTAAAGCTGACACTTCAGCGAGGTGAATGGGTTGGTGGGTGGCACAGCTCATGTGCTCTTTTTCTCCAGAGCTGGAGAGAGAGAGAGAGAGAGAGAGAGAGAGAGAGAATTTATATTCTGAAGGCTCTTTGCAATTGGAAAAAGCTCGTTTTTTTTTTTTTTTTTTTACAAAAACTTTAATTCTGCAGGAAACAGCAAAAATCATGGAAAGACCTTAAAAACTCATAATCCACAATTTATTTTCACAATTTTTCTGTTCTCAGGCTGAGAGACTTAAATTCAGCATGGAAGTGGGGGTGGAAAATCAGAATATAGTACCTTCACATTATCTTTTGGCCAGGATCTAGTAGAATATCAGTTTAATATCTGGTACATCCACTGTGTGAGGATTATACCTCGCCATTGCAGGGGTCTGGACGTGATGAAGTGGGAGGTCTTTATCAGCTCCAACTACTAGGACCTTATGAATACTTTCATCATTACTTACCTATGAGTCTGTCAGCTGTTCTAATTGTCTAGGAGATGTAGGTATGGTGCCTCTTGGCCTACCGTCCCCAAATTGGGCCTCTTTTTGGGGTGAGCAAATGGCTGCCTCGATTAACTAGATAGGGCAGTGGTTCATGTACTGCTTGGCATGGTAATCTCAGTAACATTTGGGTTTCTCCTTCTCCAGGAAAGGAGTTTCTCCGAGCTTCTCAGATGAACATAAACATTGCTACCTGGGGTCGTCTAATGATGAGCATCCTCCCTCCATGTAGTTCTATGAGCACGCTAAGCCCCCCACTTCGTACTCCCATTCGTACAGACTTTACCTCTCCATCACGGCTGCAAACTCAAACTGATTCAATGTCCATGTTGGGCAGGTAAGTCTTGTTCTAGTTAATGTTATTCGACAAACTGGAATGGGCACAAAATTAAAACTTGGTGAAATTCCACAGGGTGGTGAAAGATCTATGTAGGAAACTTAGCTTGGGCTATTAAGAAAAGCTAATACTGGCTGAGATGGTGTGAACTTTAATGGAGCATTCAGTATTGTTGGGCCACTTCTGATTTATTGTTGACCATTGGACAGATTTCCAGAATCACGGTTCTTCTTTGAGTATATGCTCCTATGGGTGCTCCATCATAGGATGTGCATGTGCCTGGGCACTCTCAATTGGAGATTTTAGCTAGCAGTGTCTAAAGGTCTGCGTCTGCGCACTATGCCTCTGCATGTTCCTGTGCAGGGGCACATAGGCAGGTGCAAATATGTCGCCACTGCAGTTCCTTCTCAACTGCCCTCAGCTCAAGATGGTTCAGAATGGTGTTTGCTGTGTTCTCAGACCCAGGGGGTCAGGTGGGCTTGCACTTGGGTGGCTAGCCCGAGATGCCACCAGGGTCACAATGTCCACACTGCTATTTTTAGGCGCTAGCTCAAGGTGAGCTAGCATGAGTCTGTCTACTCACAGTGGAAATCACACCTCCCCGTTGCAGTGCTGACATGCTGTTAGGATTCTATCATGCTGGCCATTGTTCAGTGTAGACCTAGCTCACCGACAGCAGTTTGGGCCCCAGGGCAGAACTGTCAATGGGTCCGAGCTGCTGCCGGCTGCGCTGCTGGTGCCCAGCGAGCTGCCGGCACAGCCAGGGCTTCCACATGCCCACCCGGTTGCCTTTACCACCGTTGGTACCACCCCGCGTGCACCTATGAGCCCTGTGGCCTGCCTGGGCTATTTAAAAGGGCCTGGGGCTCCCAGCCGCTACCACAGCAGTGGCAATGGCTGGGGGCCCCCAGGCCATTTAAAATCACTCAGGCCTCTGGGCAATTGCCCCCTTTCCTCCCCCCCGTCGGTGGGCCTGGTGTGGACCAATAATTTGGTGTCTCAATCTGGGGTCATAGTAGAAGGATCCAGTCTGAGGTGGTCATTTTCGTGCAAAATCTGAGTGACCACAAGCAGATAACTCTTTGTAAACAGGACTTGTGAGAGGCTCACGTGAGAAGGAGTGGGTAACAGATCTCCATCTAATGGTCTAAGGCCCATTCTCACTTTGTTAAATAAAATTAATGGTTCATCAGCAATTACTCTTTCACATGTTTCCACTCATTTCTTATGACATAGGCATGACATTGGGAAAGTGAATTTGGGAGTGTGATGGTGGGGGAAAATAGGCAAGTGCATGGCCTGCTTCAATGCCTTTTCACCTAAAGTCAAAAGCTGCTTTAACTTTTATCAGTACTAAACTTAACTTTATTTGGTCAAATGATAAATTATCCAGGCCCAAACTCAAATGTGGCACATGTTCTCTTCATTATATACTATCTGAATACTATACAGGGCCACAGTTTAACTGGTGCTGGTATAGATCGTAACATTCTTTCCTGTGGTTGCAAATAACCTAACCACCAACTTGAATGTGTTCCAAAGCTACGTATTACAGCTTTTAGATTTGCTCCTCTAAAAGAGGATATTTTTCACTGGTCCATTAGCCCTTGTAAGAAGGAAGATCACGTTGGTTATTAAGCTAAACTTCATTTCTGTGATGCAGTCAAAAAATAGATGTTTACTTTAAATTGTTCATCAGATGGCCGTTTTATTTATAACTTTCATCACTCCTAATGTCAGAGTGCTAGGTATCCTGACATGAGTATAAACACCAGCAGCATAATAAAGGCTTATTTCCTTACAATTCATTTTAAAGGCGCATACTACCTGTTGATTTCTCACAGGCTTGAATCCCAGGTATGAATCAGGGAGTTTTACTGTCCAGTGCATTTAGGATTAATTTAAACCTTGCTTGTGTAATTCTGGGACTGCACTAGTGTCCGCTGTACCGTATTCTATTCCACAGTGACCTCTTTAAAAATTTCTTCCAAATGCAGTGACTATCCAGTGGTTAAACTGACATTTGGCGAGGAACCTCCCCCTAAGCCTCCACGCCTTTTTTTGACAGCAGATTCCAAAGAGGTTGCTCCATCTCCTGCAGACTCTCCGGTAAGCATCTGGGTTGATAGAGAGATTTTTGTGTGTTGATCAGGTTTCTTTAGTGGGTTGGGTTGGGCCCTGCCCTTTTCTCTCAAATCCAAGTTTTTTGACTTCTTATAACCCTCAGGAAATTAGTGACTCCTTGATTAAGACTGGCTAATATCCAGGGATTTGGGGTCCAGTTGGGTGACTGGGCCTTGGGCTTTTGGTCACTCAGAAGTGGGACGGATCTGGACGCTAAGGGGAGGTGCTCCATCTCCCCAATCTATAAATTGCCTCCCCTTGCAGAAACAAAGTGGCAGGCAGGTCACCTTGGGATTTCAGGCCAGAAGTGGGGAAGAAGTATCTGCATGAGGAAAGCAGGGACGCAGAGCTTGCAGGTGCTGTAAAACAGGAGGGCATGTAAAGCTCTCTTCCTGGGTGAGCTGGATGGGAAGGAAGAGGGGATCGCATTCACTGAGGGAAAGGAGCAGTCGCTGGGGGAGAAGTAGAGGTGCAAGTTTTCAGTGCTGAAATAGTTAAATACCTGTGCCCTGACACATACCTTACTCTTCTAATTAGTGTGCACCCATAGATGAAAGTGCATTCTCTCTGGTCACCAGAGTTCTCTAGAATTGCACTGAGACATGTGAAGTGACTTTCTGGAAAAGTCATGGTTCATCCTAGACTTTTTCAAATGGGTACCCACACTAGGGGCTGACTCCAACAGGGAGATAGAATCTTATTATTGCATTGCTCAGTACATAGAAATGGTTTAAGTAGCCATAGACAGTCTGTGTTCGTGTGCTGTGTGGGCCATACTTCACTCACAACAGAGACAATCCCTGTTTATATCACAAGAAGAACATTCTCTCTGGTCACTGCTGGGTGACACAGATGGAGGCTTGGGTGTGGGTTTTCCAGTCTGTTCTGATCTGATCCAGTGGGACTTTGCAAACACCATTCCACAGAACTGGATGTGGTGATTTTCTCTCCATTCAGTGTCTGAAGAGGCTACATGTGGAAGAGAGGACTCGCAGCTCTGCTGTAACAGAAACACCAAATTGGGCTTCTCAGAGGTAATTGTGGACAGCATGGGGCTCTTTTGGGCACAAGGAAAGGGGATATTGAGCTGAAATTTTTGACCATCAGTCTTAAGTTCTGTTAAATAGGTATTATGACATCTAATTAGGAAATTAATTTCTCAGTAACCGACTTTTCATACTGTATTTATATAGTACAAGGAAAACTCTGCATTTTACCTTATTTATCCAGATGCCTGCATAGCATTATCTGTGTAATGACCCTTGATCATTACCCTATTAACAGGCTGTGCAATACAATTGAGTGAATCTTTCTAGTAGAAGGTAAAATAATTTAACTGCCCTCAAATGGCTCCTCATTTTTAAGCATTTTAAATTCTCTAGGGCTTAAACATGTGAGCTATTTAGATATACCTCTCTGAATACTAAGTAACATACTTCAAAAGCACCCCCTAGTAGACCGCACCCCTTGTTTATTATATTAATGTAGTTATTTGAGATAAATTAGTCTCCATTGCATGGGGGGCATACATAAAACAATAACGTTGTTAGTAGAGTCTAATGCTGCTACTGGGCTGTATATAACAAGGATACAGACTAGAAAAATGCAACAAGAAAATGCTAGGCAAAAAACACAACAACAATAATATTGAACCATCAGTTATGTAAAAATGCATGAATAACAAAATAAACATTAACTGATCAACAGCTTCAACTATTTCCTTATGTAGGAGTATTAACGTATCAGTCCTTTCACCCTCACTTTGGAGGTTTGTAGTTGGTAGCAAGGACACAGTCAGTCACATACATTGACTTACCTACCGTCTCTCTGGGAGGGACGTTTGTGTCTTTCTAGTCTAGATTCTTAGGCTTTCAATTCACTCACCAGAGGAGAGGGAAACCTCTGCTCCCAGCAAACGATGTTCCTAGACTAAGCCCTTTTAACTGCCTTTTTATTTTTTCCAAGAGATCCTAAAATCTACAGTTTTAGTTTCCTTGGTAACAGCATGTGGCCAGCATAATGTTTCATGGCATCTGTCCACACAGCTACACATTTTGTATTCCCCTTTTTGCCCTCCAACCCCCCCACTCTCCCCTCATCACTACCTATCCCTATCTAAGAACTAGAATCCTTCTCATCCTAGCAGCACCCCAGACTTGGTCTTCTCCCATATCCCACCACCAACCTTTTGTTCTTCTATCGTTGTCCTGACAGCACCTTCATATTTACATGGTCTTGTCCCACCAGCTACCCTCTAGCTTCCTTAGGCTTGGCTTCTTGCTGTGTAAACCTCCTTTCCTTTGGTATCCATTTCTGACCTTTGAGTTTACTATGTCTTGTCCTAGTAGTGCTTTCTCTGTTTGCCTGCAGGAAGAGGGCTGTTCAGCTTCAGGATTTTCACTGCATCGCCATGCTGGGACGAGGGCACTTTGGGAAGGTAGAGTGGGAATAAGGGGCTTCCTTGGAGGGAGCGGGTGCAAAGCTGGCCCCCTCTCTTTTTCCACCTCTGCATCTCATAGTTTGAGAGTGGAAATGTTCCAAAAGGGGAAGAGGCTCATTCAACTGTAAATGGAAAAATCAGCTCCTGCCCCACAAGGAAACAGCTGATATTCCTGTTAATAAGAGGGTCTTTCGGGTGTTTAGGGATTCCAAGGCTGGAGAGAACCTTTAAGGGCTCAGGTTCCTCCACCTATCCTCTTTTCACATGCCCCATGTAGTTCATATGCCTCTAGCTCCAGAGCCCATCAAGGTCACTCCTTGCATCATCCATAGGGGTCACTAGAGAACAGCATTAGGTGATCTTCCTCCCCAAAGATGGAGCTCACAACTCCTGGGTAGTTGGAGCACTGAGTGGCTATAAAATCATAGGACCAGCTTTGACACTCCAGATTTTAAAAATTGCATAATTTAAAATGAGTTCCATCTGGAGCTATTCACTGCAGAGCATTCAGGAAAATAAAAAACCCTCCTCGGAGTTGCTTGGCCTTGGCTTTGACAATGACTCTCTGGAATGGACGGGAGCAGTTTGTGTGAGTGTCTGCTGGCTGTGTGGGTGGGCGTCCAAGTAGCCAGATGAAAGAATCTCAGAATGACTGGGAGTGCTGGATTATTGTCTTTCAGGTGCTGCTAGGTCAATACAAGGCAACAGGGAAGTTGTACGCTATCAAAGCCCTAAAGAAACAAGACATCATTAGCAGAGATGAGATTGATAGGTGAGTATCTGACCAGAGGGAGCACTTCCACCAGAGGCTGTGAGATCACCTCTCTAATCATGTCAATCTCAGCACTAATGTGGTAGTGGATCCCTCTTAAGCATCAGAGGGCTAGAATCAAGACTTGAAGGAAGCTTATAATGGTGTTGCTCCTGGCATCTAGCAAAATAACACTCACCTGGGGGGAAAGAGAATAAAACTGGGGTTTGGGAACTACACAAGATGAATGTCATCTCCCTTTTTTGTTTCTATAACTCTAAGTGTAAAAATATCCTCCTCTATACTTCCATCTCCAAACATAGGCTTCTCTGCAGAGCTTTGGCCCTGACATTTTCTTTCTTTGAACCCTGACAGCTTGAACTGTGAGAAGCGAATCTTTGAAGTGATCAACTCCTTCAGCCACCCGTTCCTGGTGAATATGTTTGCATGTTTCCAGACGCCAGATCATGCATGTTTTGTGATGGAATACACCCCTGGTGGTGATCTCATGATGCACATTCACTCTGATGTCTTTCCAGAACATGTGACGCAGTGAGTTAGCTTGTTTCAGGTTTCAAAGTACCATAGATGTTTGACTTGGTTCTCAAGTCTCTGTAGTGAAAACTCTTCGTCTTTCTCAGGTTTTACACAGCCTGCGTAGTGCTTGGACTCCAGTTCTTACATGAGAAGAAAATTATTTACAGGTAACATAACAGTAAAGTGTAAGAAGCCCAGCAACCCAAATATTAAATTGCCCATTTAGCCACATGTGCAGTTTGTAGCTCACTGCTATGCTGGGGTTTCTTTAGCACTCTGTCCAGCTAGCCAGCTCAGTGACATTTCACATTTCCCTCCCACCGCTCCTGCCATCACATTCAAGAGTTTAACTGGATCCTTTCCACAGTTGACTGGAATGAGTTGGCAGAAATACAACACATCCAAACCTGTGTCTGTATTGACCATACCAACTTACTGTTAACCATGCCAGGGAATGTCATTAAGAAACTGTCTGTCAGACATATTGCCAGTGAGCCATCCACCCTGAAGCAGAGATGAACTGGGGGGAGGTAACGTGTGTCCTCTTTCCAGGGGCATCCTGGCAATGGGGCCTGCTATTAGCAGGACACATCCTTTGATAATACAAGCCCCTCCTTGCACAGAGCCATTTACAGATGCTCTTAGGAAAATAAATTAATAAATATAATAGTCTGTGAAGAGCATCCTCTAAGGAAATATAGTATTTGAGAAAGTGCAATCTCTATTCATTGTTCATTCTACTTCCCTCTTCATAACAGCTGGTGTTATGCCATAGGAGCCGACTCCGGGGGTGCTCCGGGGCTGAAACACCCATGGGGAAAAATGGTGGCTGTTGAGCATCCACCGGCAGCTCCCCATCAGCTTCCCCACATCCCTCCTAGTGTCTCCTGCCTGCTGGCGGGCTCTGCAGATCAGCGCCTCCCCCTCCCCCCCTCGTGCCTCCTGCCCATCGCGAAACAGCTGTTCGCGGTGGGCAGGAGGCTGGGAGGGAGGGGGGAGGAGGGAGGATGTGGTGTGCTCGGGGGAGGGGGCAGAACTGGGTGAGAAGAGGCGTAGTGGGGTCTGGGAGGAAGGGGTGGAGTAGGGGCAGGGCCTGGGACAAAGCTGGGGGTCGAGCATCCCCTGACACTTTGGAAAGTTGGTGCCTGTGGGTTATGCCAATTCCCAGACTTCACCCCCCATTCTCTTCCTCCTGTGTCTGCAGGGACCTGAAGTTGGATAACTTGCTCTTAGATGCTGAGGGCTTTGTGAAGATTGCAGATTTTGGGCTGTGTAAGGAAGGTGAGCAACTTTGATGGTACCAAGATTGAGCCATCACCCTTGCTGGAGAAACTGAGCATCTAGGGTTTGGTAACATGTTCACAAGCGCAACTTGTGGAATTGCTGTGCTAACACAATTGTAATACTTGTGGCACCGCGGATACAGACTAACACGGCTGCTACTCTGAAACCTAACACAATTGTGTTCATCCCACTTAAAGAAATCCTTCCTATCTGACCACTATGAAGTTGGGAGCAGTTCCTGTTCCTTCTCTCTGGGTAATTTATAAAGGGGTTTATAATGCACTTGACTGTTCAGAGGAGCCAGGATGCAGCATCATACAGGCTTGTTTTCCTTGTCCTTGCTATGTGGTTATATGATAATTGTGGCTGAAGGAAGTTTCTTTGCGTTGCTGTTTAAATAAACAGTGTCTTTACATTCCTTCTTTGCGCCTCAGCTTAGAAACACTAAAAAGACAAGCTACTGGAGTCCTTAGTGAAGATTCCATGTTTCCTCAAGAGTGCATGGACATGGGTGGGCAAGTGTCCTGCAAGATCAGAGGCAGATTCTCCTTGGAGTAATGTATTAATGCCAGTTCTCCTCTCTTTGCCCACCTGTCTCTATCCTCAGCCATGTTGTCCATCGTCCAGTATCACCGTCCCTGCTGTCATCACCTACATTGCCTGTTATGCTTCCAGAAAATGTGATGATGCATAACCAATTGGGAATGTGTATGGTGTATTCATAAAGGCATTTTCTCCACAGGGATGGGTTTTGGGGACCGCACTAACACTTTTTGTGGCACCCCTGAATTTCTGGCTCCGGAAGTCCTGACAGACACCTCATACACGCGGGTAGTGGACTGGTGGGGGCTTGGTGTGCTCATTTTCGAGATGCTTGTTGGTGAGGTGAGACCATTTTCCTCTGGGGAAAGGGAGAGGTGGGGCTCACCACATGACATGAGTGGTCACGGGATAGGTGCACCTAACTGCTCTTCATTTATGTCTTTAAAATAATTTAAGTGAATAAAAATACATCTTTGGGTTCTCCTTGCATTAAAAGTGTGATTCCTATAATTGCTTTTGTGGTGATTTGAAACCAGCTATAGCAGCTTAACATTTCTAATTCTGTTCTCTCCAATAAGGATCCTTAGTATTTATATCACGTTTTCCTCATTCATAGCACTTGCCAAACCCTACCTAATCCCTCCAAAACTCCAAAGTATTATCATCCCCATCTTACAGTGTGATAAACAAACAGTAGGATACAGATACTATGTATGTCAAATAATAACATGTCTCCACTGCAGTCTCCATTCCCTGGAGATAATGAAGAGGAGGTCTTTGACAGCATTGTCAATGAAGAGGTCCGCTATCCGCGATTCCTTTCTTCTGAGGCACTTCCCATACTCCGCAAGGTACTGCAATGGGATCTCCCTGGTTTTACTGAGGCCTCAGCACAAGTAGAGTCAGAGAGACACTCTTCTAACTAGACGGCATTTCCACTTGTGTGTGTGCGCTTCCAGAGGTGTCCACATATTCTACAGGGAACCCTTAAAATACACACACACTCACACACTCTCTCTCTCTCTCTATCTATATCTTAGGCTTGGTCTACACTAAACCCCCAAATCAAACTAAGGTACGCAACTTCAGCTACGTGAATAACGTAGCTGAAGTTCGAAGTACCTTAGTTCGAACTTACCTCGGTCCACACGCGGCAGGCAGGCTCCCCCGTCGACTCTGCAGTACTCCTCTCGTCTAGCTGGAGTACCGCAGTCGATGGCGAGCACTTCCTGGTTCGACTTATCGCGTCCAGACAAGACGCGATAAGTCGAACCCAGAACTTTGATTGCCAGCCGCCGAACTAGCGGCTGGGTGTAGACATACCCTTAATTTCTCATCCTTGACACCTCCATACACACATGCCATCCGTATAGCCATTGAGGATTAAGCAGGGTTCCTATTGGAGTCTATCCTGCCAATTCTCAAATGGACAGATGTTAAATAACTCTAGGGTAGGGATGTCAGATTTATTCTGTGGATAGGGCTAAATTTAATTTTTAATTATCAGTGGATCAGCGTATATAGTTAAGGCTTACATGCTACTTAGAGTCCACAGTGGATCACCCACTGATATAAATGGATGGTTTACAATGGACTAAACTTGAGTTTAGTGCTGACTGGTTATGGCCCTGCCATGAAGGGAGCAAGTGGAAGAGATTGGATGGTTGCTGCTCTGTTTTCTCTCTGGAATATTGTTCATGTCCCTCCTTGTTCCATGTGTTGAATTTGTCTATTGGCCTTTTCTGCAGCTTCTCCAGAAATGTCCAGAACGTCGCCTTGGGGCAGGAGAGAGGGACGCAGAGGAGATTAAAAACCAGCCCTTTTTCAAGGTAAGAGCTCAGTCCCCTGTGCCCCTTTGTGCTCATATGTCTGAGCTGCAGGAGAGCTATTTGCTTTCTGTTGCTATAGAGGCAAACTTGCCTGTTTCTTTTGGTTAAAAATGAGACTCTCAACAGCAGCTTCTCTGACACGTGGTCCCTAAAGCCAAACGTTTATCTCCATAACAAGTCACTTTCAGAACCTCCTGATCAAAGACTGTTTTCTGGTACCGTTAGGCTTCCAAGCACAGGATCTTTATTTCAATATATGCAGTTCTAAACTGAGTCTTAAATGTCCCCCACCTCTTAATTTCAGGCATCCAATCAAACATCTCCCCTATAGCATGGGAATTCTCTTGCTGTGGGTAAACAGATGCAGGTACCATCATACAGATTGTCTGGCAATCACCATCTCTGAATTCAGGAGGAAGGTTTGAGCAGTTAAAATATAAAACTTGAACTGTCAGTGTGTTCACAGAGGAATATGAACGCTGAATAGCTTAGGGTGGAGAGGATGCTATAATCTATACATAGTGAAGGAAGGCTACTGAGGCACTAACACTTTGAATACTAAAACCAACTGTATAAAACAGTTGAGCTTTATCAATGTCCAGGATTATCCTGTAATAAATGCTAATATTTGTAAAGAGCTACACCAGGCCCTATAGCAATGAAAACACTCCTCTGGGTAGCCCCTACACAGAGAACTGCTTAATGGTCTCCTGATAAGAGCTTATGGTTCTAGTTTAGTTTTGTCTCTGCTGAATAACAGTCTGACCTGTAGCTTTGTTTCTTGGCTGGCATTCTGAAGAGCAGCCTTAGGTTTCATGGAAGACTCTGGTTTAGGAGTGATCTCTCTCTTTCCTGTGGTGCACCTCATTTTGGTTATCTTGGCACTTCTGTTTTCTAGCCTTGTAGAAATCAGGCATGCTGCAGCTGATCTGGAAGGGAGGAAGGATACATAACACTACTATTTCCTACCTACTATCTCACAATTTGTTAGTCTGTTCTTGGTGCCAATCTGGTTTTGTAATTTCCTCTATTTACAGGAGATTGACTGGGATGCCCTGTTTGCCAGAGCACTGAAGCCCCCTTTTGTGCCTTTCTTAAGAGCTCCCACTGACATTAGCAACTTTGACGAAGAGTTTACCTCCCAGAAGCCAATCCTGACTCCTCCAGATGAGCTCCCTGTCCTGACCCCTGAGGAACAGGCTGCCTTTAAGGACTTTGACTTTGTCTCCAGACACCTTCTGGAAGTCTGATTGCTGTGGTGTAAGGAGCCCATGCAGACCACTACTACCCTGAGATCCTAGAGAGGAACTCGCAACTGACTATTGGAAGGTCAAATTAATAACAGGCAAAGATCATTCATAGGTCTGGTAATATTAAGGATTGTAGAAAGCAAACTGTTCTGCAAGCTGGTTGCTCTACTGCATTGTTCAGTGTGTGCAAATGCTAATAGGAAGAGTACTCGATATGAGCTTGAAGGTTCTTGCTTGCTGGCTGTGTTTGAAACAGTACCTGGCTGTACGCTGATGCCACCATTGGATAGCGGTGGACACTCACAATTTAAACTGGATTTCATTTAACAATGTATCCAAATGAAATAGAGCCTTCACCCCCTTCCCAAACAAACTCCTCTACCTCTGCAGCAGGGCCTCGCAAGCTGCCTAGCTTTCTCAGCACTGGATGATCAGCAGCAGCAGAACTGGCACTTTCCACCTATTTCTTCTTTGCAAAGGATTTAGGCCCAGTTGTGTTCATAGTTTGGGGGTGTGTGCAGTGGCTTAATACAACCAGAATGATGAAGGTTGAGTTTGGAAACTGCCCAGATGTTACAAGCTGAGATCTTAGCCTTGCTTTGTAAAAAACTAGATTATTTCTACTCTCCTGCTAAATCTTAATTCCTGTCTTTAATAAGAACTGATTTAAAACCCTACAAACTTTGCACATATTGTTTATTGTAAATTAGAGACTCTCCCTTCTGATTAAAACTTATGCCTTTCATCCCCCTGGCTTGTTAGAACATATCAGGAGCTGGGAGAACACAGATCTTCTGCTTAACAGAGAGAGTGTTCTTTATCTCTGTAAATGTAATGTTAATACTATTTCCCTTTCCTTCTTCCTTTCATAAGAGTCTCTTGTCACTCCAGCTGCTCAGATCTGTCCCCTCTGTATGTGTTATCTTTATTGGGGCCAGGTATGTCACTTTAATGATTGCACTCAGGCTATTTCTCCAGTTTTTTTACCTTACTATGTATATGCTGTATTTTTCTCAGATAATATAAAATATTGTGGATGTTTATATCGGAAAAATTAATAAATATTGGTTGTGAAACAACTCTGGCTAGAAAACAGCCTAAATATAGAATAATTTGTATCGAGACCAACTTCATTTGGTGCTCCAAATGCAGAAGTATGAGTATGTTCTTGTAGTAGCAGTGCTGTAATTAGCACTTTTAATTACTATTTAAACATTACATTCTGACTGTGAAACTGTTTTGCAGAGTGCTGTTGCCTCTTCCCAGCTAGCCAGTATGACTAGCAAGTCAAAAATAGCAACTGTTCTTTAAACAATTTCCAAGTGAGAAGTATGGGGAATGAGTCATTCATAAACTACTGGGGCAATCATAACCTGGTTGCACTTCACAGTGTAGACTGGACTGCTACACATTTATGGTAGTTACTATGTGTAGGGAACAGCACTTTGGCTAGTCGGCTAGAGAAGAAATATCCCTGTTGAAGGCTCATAGGAACATGTAGATGTTGGTTTTTCAACCCTTCATCTACAGGGATAGACTTTACCAGTAAAGGATTGTGCTCGTTCTGAAGACGGGATCTGGCCATAACCAGAGAGGAGTCCCCATTAAATCAAGATTGGCTGAAGTGCTCAAGGAGTTACTTAGGTAAGAGCTTTAGTATATGTACGTGTGTGGAAGAAAAACATCCCACCCTGATCTTAGCTCAGTCTTATAATTACTGCTGAATGTCTTGCAAAGGGAAATTAACCCACACCACCAATTAACTCCTCCTAACCTTAAAGCCAGTTTAAGGCAAGGTACGTGTCTGTACTGAGCCTTGTTTAAACAGCCATTGTCTTCTCACATTTGGCCCCAAATGTGTTTGTAAAAACTTTTACAAAATGTCAAGACTGGCATGTTTCCATGATTTTTTACATTCTAACATTATAAAATAAATTAAATTAATGGAGATATCCCATCTCCTAGAACTGGAAGGGACCTTGAAAGGTCATTGAGTCCAGCCCCCTGCCTTCACTAGCAGGACCAAGTACTGATTTTGCCCCAGATCCCTAAGTGGCCCCCTCAAGGATTGAACTCACAACCCTGGGCTTAGTAGGCCAATGCTCAAACCACTGAGCTATCCCTCCCCCTCATTAAAAGGTGCAGCATAGTGCTACTGCAGGAGAACCAGATGACTCGACTGAGTGAAACCTGAAAAATGTAGAGAACAGCAAAAACTAGTTTTAATCTTTTAATGATTTACAATTATTTTTAACACAGTGCAGAGCATTTAAAAATGTAAACTGCAAATATCTTTCAATGGCAGCCTAGACTTTTTTTTAAATTCACAGTCCCAAACATATTTAACTTGTGTGTATTCAGTTATACTGGCTGACAGTTATTTTTTCATGTGATAGAGCCAACACAGCTAAGCGTGAAGTGAACTCTAGTCTGGCAGATATTTCATCAACCAAACTAAATTCTAATTGCAGACTCCTTTCTTAATGGTGACTTACAATCCAGGAAGACCCCATCTTGACATTCACATACCACAGTGTGATAGCATGTTCTGCCCTGTACAAGACACAGCCCTGGCCCCAAGGAACCCGAAAACTTTTTCTGGTGTCAGACACCAACATAGACCCTCCTGCTGTCTTTGAGTTGCTTTTTCAGAGTATAACAGTATTCTAAGAGTGCTTACCTACCTTGGAACCTGAGTGCAATCTGCCAACGTGATAGCCATCCATTTGGCTCTTGTGCCAAGTGCTAACCCCTGAGACATGAAAGATACTAAGGCACCAAATAAGCATAACAGTTTTTACAAAACCTGATGATTAGAAATATTTTCAGGACTAAGATTCAGTGCAGAGTGCTCTCCTTTTTTGAGGGGACTATTGACACACGATCTTTACAATGCCATAAAGGAACTTGTAACTTGTAATTAAACAGGTTCATTTCACTGTCCATGCTGCTTAAACTGAAGAAATTAAATTTACTTGTTAGTGTCATCTTAGATTAAAATGGAAATCTTCCCAATATCTTTAATACAGTACCTGCACCTGCTTTAAAAATAAAAGACTAGTCTTTCTCCTTTTCAGTTAAAAAGTAAAATAAGTTGAAAACCTAATAGTATTAAATATGGTAGTGGGGAAAACGTCATTAAGACATGGATTTAGCAGTACTATTATCAGTGTTGCTCCAGCTGGGCAAGGAAATAAGGATTCTGGCTCCATCCCACTGTTACCAGTTAAAAATTATCTCAGGGCATTCAGAAATATCTCCTTCACTGCCACTCACCCATTTATTACTTTAATTTAAGAATACGTAATTGGAACAATATTTTGAGGGACACTTTTCCCAAACAAGCTATAGGTGAGGGTTAGAGCTGAATAAGTAACATGCACAAAGAATGCAGTTGACAAATGTTGCTTTTTTCTGTTCAAGAATGGTTTAAATCTGAGAAGTCTATATTCACTGAAAACTCATTAATTTCTGTATCGAACAACTGAGTCTATGGTCTGTTTAAATGTGCATTTCATTATGTTTAAGTCAACAGTATTGTTTTGTTGACTTGTATCTAAGTAGCCACTCCATCACAAAGCATAGGTTTAACAGTCCAAAACTTGAATTTGGTGCATAACAGCTGTTTCTAAGGCATATTAGCAGTAGTAAAGTTCAAATCTTTGTGGAACGTATGAATCTCCTGCATGCAGTCAAACTGAGGTTTCCTTTTCATTGTCCAAATAGTCATTCAAAACCTTCCATTATTTGCCCAACTCTACCACTAAGGCACATCGGTCCTGACAGTAAGACTTATCATGAAGAAAGGCCACATATCAATAATGAACTTTTTCTTTCTGCTGCTATTCCCTAGAGTGGATGTGGCACCAACTGAGGAGGGGAGACTGAGGAAATAAGTGAAAGCAGCTATTCAGTAAGTGCCTGCATTTGCCTCAAGAGGTTTGATGAATATGATTAGCAAAAAGATGTAAAGGACTAGCATACACATTCACTCAGACCAGAAATCACCCCTTCAGTGCTGCCCAGAACCAAGAAGTCCCCTTTTAATAGAAGTTATTTTACCTGGATACGAAGAACAACCATAAAGCCGTGTTGCCATTTAATCTTCTTGTAAGCAGACTTGCTCCTGCGGATGGGATAGTTGTACAAGTTGCATGGTTCATTATGACTAAATTCCCCCTCCACTGAAGCAGTAGGAAATGGGTTACAACACAAGTGCTTTCTCTAACAAATCACACAGAGGTTGTTCCTGAGAGTCCTACTCTAAATTCCTTTCTTAAAGCCCTTAGCACAGATGCACCATGACAAGCAGCCTCTATTAGTTAAAACCTGAATGACTAATTCAGCAAGAGGACCTGCATTTCAGCTCACCCTGTAGATGTACTTTTCCCTCTTGTAATCAAACTTGGATTACACCATTAAATCCTGGCTGAATGTACATTCTATAATTAAACAGGGTCACTATCCTCCTGAAAGTATATTTTCTCCCATGTAACGAGACGGCAGGCACAGAAGAATCTCCAGAGGTTGAGAATGACACCTTGGTCAAAGGGGTTCTCTGACTCACAGTGTCGGAGGTAGGAGATGCGATGGTGTGACATGAACTCCCAGGTGGTTGTATTACATGAGACCAGGTATAAGTGTGAAACCAGCAGCAGCAGCACTACAATGGTGAATATGGCTATCACGAGGAAGGACAGGAGAAGGAAGATGTTGTGCTGCAGCCACTCCCAAGACTGTTCAAAGTAAAGGCCTGACCTTTCAATTAAAAGAGAAACATAGTTTAGTCAAACTGGGTTAGATACAGAACTGAAGTTACATTAATCAAATCATCAGCTTGACTTACAAATACTGCACTCCTGACTCACATGCTGATAATATTTCTGCAGTGTTTTACAGCTTCAAAGCACTGTATAAACTTTGCCAGCAGCTGCAGTCCCAAGACTCAAAACAAAGTTAAGTTCTAAATACACTGGAACAGAGATCGGAAGAAGATCTTAGACATCTATACTGCTGTAAAAAATATGTTCTCCTGACAATTAGAGAGTTGCCTGGCACTGCAGGGGAAGAGCTGCATGAGTAGAAGGCCAGGAGCCACTAACAGAATATGGTTTATGGGGACTTTCACTTGCCTGCCATTTATAAATATAGGCTGCACAATAATTAATGAGGAAAAGTTAAACAGTAACCAACAATGCAAAATTACTTTATATCCATTTAGTTTAAGTTTACAGCTAAGCCTGTTAGAACCCAAAATATCAAACTGCATAACTAATCACCTCAGTTCTGTCAACTGAATCAACAGTACATCACTGCTGAAAGTCCCCCAATGCTCGTACAAAGTGGAAAGAATGGCAGCTGACTATAAATGCAATATACCTACTGCCAGATGCCAAAGCCTGCTCCCCTGTTTTTCCAGAAGTTTTGATGTTGCTGTCACCTCTGGAAAAGCCAAGGTTGTATTGCAAGTAAGACTATCTGCCCCTCATTTATCCGGGAGTGTCTGTCCTATATATCTGGTTTTAAGTGCTGTAGTTCAGGTAACTGTTTGTGATAATTAAATTAAGTCAAATCAAATTTCCAGCTCTTCAAATGATCCCCCATTCTATAATTGCCTTGGCTGTCTGCTCCCACTGCCTGAATGGACTCAGGCTTTTTAAGTGTTTTAAGGCAGTTATTCTCAACCAGGGGTATGTGTATTCCTGGGGGTGCACAGAGGGCTTCCGGGGTACATCAACTCATCTATAGATATTTACCTAGTTTTACAATAGGCTACATAAAAAGCACTAGCGAAGTCAGTACAGACGCTTCCCGACTTACGCAAGCGTTCTGTTCCGGAACGCCTTGCGTAAGTTGAATTTTGCGTAAATCGGGGATATATACCCAACAATTACACCCAAAAAAAAAAAAAAAAAAGCTTATGGAACTTACGGAACTTTTTCCGTAAGTGCGGGTTTGCGTAAGTCAGGGTTGTATAACCCAGGGAGTGTCTGTACAAACTAAAATTTCATACAGACAATCACTTGTTTATACTGCTTTATATATATGCTGTACACTGAAGTGTAAATACAATATTTATA